ATGGATAAAACATCAAAACTAATTGACCATTGGCTCATGACGCAGAAATAATCCTATTGTACTATAGTCGTGTCAAAGAATAAAGAGTGACACATAATAAGAGCATATGAAGAGAAAGGGGCAAAATTATGTCCGTTGAATATCCGTTGATACAACAAACTGTTTGATGAAACACGTGGTTCGTCTAAAACAATTTACCACTATTTGTTATTACAAGTCATGTTTTGAGATTATGCAAATATTATAAAACTGTTATTTAAAAATAATCGTCTAATAAATTTTATGTAAACCCAAAAACCATACACATTTTATTGCCCATTAGCAAAACACCCCCTTTCATTCCCAAGCATAGAACTAGCTATTAAAAAAAGTTTTGTATGTGTTTTCTGTCTATATACATTGTAAATATGCAAAATACATAAAGTTTGGACCATTTTTTCTTTTTATAAAAAAGTTAGAATCATGAGTCCACATGGAGTCATTGGGAATCTACAACACGGAAACATCCGTATTGATAAGATACTAAAAATTGTTTATATTTACAAAAAACGGAATAAAATATCAATATATAAAAATTAATATTACATAAATTACATTATTTTGGATTGTATTTATTATTTGTCGTATATTTATTTGGTAAAAGCCAAATTTCTAGGTAAATTTCAATAGAAATTTACTTGTAAAACTCAGAATAAATTGCCAAATAAATTAAAATTGTATGTGTATTTCTTTGAAAATATATTTACACACAAATAAATAAGCAGAACTTATATTTAAAGTGAACTTTTATTTTTATTTGCATGGAATTTAAGTACTAGGTGATTTAAGATACTAGGTGGAATTTAAGTACTAGTTCAAACCAATGAAAATCCTGCTTCAATCTTGGCCGTAGATTCCCAATGATTCCATATGAACTCATAATTTATTTTGATCCTAGAGAGGTTATGTTTTTAAATATTCGCCTGAAAAATTGTATATAGCAATAGCATTCTAAAACTATAATCAACACACTAATATTTTTTTCCATACTATATAAGTTCATATCTTAACACAATAAATTCCCAAAATGATGGAATATGCGTTTGCAGCCAAAATCATGTGCTGGGGTCTGCCTTTCAAAATAAAAACCTTGTAACTAGAGAAACAGTTATTCCAGTACTGCCAACTTCAAGAATATAAGTTTACCTACCCAAACATGAGTACAGATGGAATCATTGGGACACAACTGGCTTTATAAACTGTAATAAAAATCATGATTGCAAATGTACTCACTGGGAATGAAAGGGTTTAATGCCTGCATTTTTGCTGCTACAACCAATATTTGTTAGATAGTTAATTGTGTTTCAATTGTCCATATCAAACACAAAATAATTTAATTAAAAAAAAATTTATACAATACTGTAGTGAATAATTGATAACTTGGATTATTTTTCGTATTCATCTTTTAAACAATTGTATTTTATTAATTTACCACCGGTTATAATGCTAGGTTTGGAATTGGTTATACCAGGTGACATAGGTAAACGGAGATACAAACTTCACATTTCTCGTTTATTGCTTGGATAGCGCGTGATTTGGCGCGTCTTGATTGTAGTAATCTTTAAGGCGGTGACACACTATCGATCTTTTCCCCGATCAAGACCCCGAACCGAGCAGGGAGAAGGGAGAAGGGAGATAAATATCAGCAAAATTTTACTCCGAACATTTCCCCGAACATGACCAAGACCAGACGAATTCTACCGAGCGCGGCAAAAGGAAGTTTGGAAAGAGATAGAGAGTGTGTGCGAGTGAGAGCGCGGAACTATCAATGCTAGCGCAGGCGGCCGCTCGGTGCGGCGCTCGCGACGATGTACGGGGCAAAAATGTACCGTGACACACTATCGTACATCGGACCGATCTTTTCTTTGATCTTTCGCCAAAAAACCGCCTCCAGAGCGCTCGTCTCCCTGCTCGGCCTGATGTCTTGTTCGGCGTCTTGATCGGTGTACGGACCCGTGACACACTATCGAACATCCTCCCTTCGACCTCCCTTCTCCCTTCTCCCTGCTCGGTTCGGGGTCTTGTTCGGGGAAAAGATCGATAGTGTGTCACCGTCTTTAGCTGAACATTTTAAAGGTACAAAGGTCTTTGTAAAACACACGGAATATATTCTTTTGCTATAGCTAATATTTTAAACGGGAACTAATAAAAATAAATAAAAACAAATGGGGGTGAATCAACGGAAACATTTGTTTTACTTACAATACAGAAATGAAATGAAATGAAATGAAATGAAATGATTTATTTGCCGTTGATCATGTACATGAAATGGGCATTGTCATATGATTAATGAAATTAATTAAAACAGATTGTCATATATCTATAAAGACTAACTAAAATCTAATTTCTATACATGTATTAAGATATTCATATGTATTGTAAAAGGGATTGTCTAAAAGCCAAGCAGCTACCTTTTTTTTGAAGACTTTGGGTGTGCAGGTCCTTGATGATTCATGTAGTTTGTTAAAAAATTTGATGCAATTTGCCTTGTGTGATATGCCGAATTTTGTCAATCTGTGCTGTGGAATATCTAATTTTATCCTGTTGCGTGTTTCATGTTCATGTATTTCTTGCCTGGTGGGAAAAAGGTGAAGATTAGCTTTAGTGTAAATTAGAATATGTAGTATGTATAAGTTAATTACTGTTAAAATTTTCATTTGTTTAAATAAAGGTCTACAGTGGTCCAATCTGTTAGCTCTGCACATAGTTCTAAGAACCTTTTTCTGTATCAGGAGAACATCTGATACAGCAGTTGCATGTCCCCAGAGAACCAACCCATAGGATATGTGAGATTGAAATAAACCAAAGTAGGTCATTCTTAGATATTCATCTGACACAGATTCCCTGAGTTTCCAAAATAGATAGCTGACCCGTGAAATTTTTTTACAAAGGTTGTTGATGTGGACATGCCAAGACAATTTAGAATCGATATGAATACCCAATAGTTTGACTGATTGTAAATCCAGATTTAGAGAGGTGCTGAGGATGATATTTTGAGTTTTACCTTGGTTACAAAGTAGTTTATTCGTGGAAAACCAATTCAATGCATCTCCCTGGGCCACACCCACCTGTCTGAAGAGCTCTATTTTGTCCGAATTTTTAGCAAAAATTGATGTGTCATCAGCATATATTACTGACTCAGATCTTAGATTCTTTGGAAGATCATTTATGGCTATTATAAAGAAGAAAGGCCCAAGCACAGAACCTTGGGGCACTCCCATTTTGATATCAACAACATTGGAATTAGCACCCTGAATGGAAACATACTGTTTCCTACCATTCAGGTATGACCGGAATATGCTAAGTGATTGATCCTGAACTCCATAAAATTTAAGTTTGTCAAGTAAGATGTTGAAAGGAACACAATCAAATGCTTTGCTCAGATCTAACAATGACACAGCAACTGATTCTTTGCTCTCAAATGCATTTAAAGAGTAATCAACAATCTCCATGACAGCCGATGTAGTTGATCTTCCTTTGCGGAAGCCGTGCTGAGAATCAGATAACAGATTAAACTTATCAAAATGAGCAGCAAGTTGTTTGTGCATCAGAGATTCAAAAACTTTTGAGAAAATCGGAACAATTGATATTGGTCTATAATTTTCAGGAGAAGATTTGTCTCCCTTTTTAAAAATAGGGATGACTTTGGAAATTTTTAGAAGATCTGAGAAGTATCCATGCTGCAAACAAATGTTGAAAATGAAGGCTAGAGGATCTTGGATGATATGAATAGTGTTTTTGATTATATAATTAGACAACCAATAATAATCCATGCTTCGAGAATTTGAGAATTTTGAAACTATGCTGGTAATTTCCTCTGGAGTGATATGTTGCCAATAAAAAGGCTCAACTGCTGTCAAACCATTGCCCAGAAACTCAGAGACACTAGCATTTGTGGCTGGAATGTTATTTGAGAGTGTTGTGACAGAGTCAATGAAAAATTGGTTGAGCTGTTCAGGTTCTAGTGTAGTTTGATGTGTGCCAACTGCAAATTGCTCCTGCTTAACTATATCCCAGGCTGCTCTGCATTTGTTTGGAGCAGACTCTATATAATGCTCACAGGCTTGTCTTTTAGCCAATCTTAAATTGTTCCTATAACTCTTTTTACATGATATGTAAGCTATATAGGCATTATGCATTTGGTCAGAGTTACAACTTCTATAGTTCTTATAGATACTAAACAGGCTCAACATCAACTCTCTTTCCTTAACCAAGTCTGCAGAATACCATTGAATTTTCTTTGCAGGATGTTTGATATTTTTATTTTTCTTACATACCAAAGGAGAACAAGTGTGCCAAAGTGATACAAATTGCTTAAAAAATTCGTCAACCAAAGTTTCAACATTGATTCTACCTGCAATATAATTGTCAAAAATGTCCCACTGATAGTTGCTCAATTGCTCTTTAAAATAATTAATATTTTCCTCACTTTGCTTCCGGAAAAAGACTTTATTAACATTATTGATATTCCTAGCAGTTTTATCACTATTTATCTTTTTGTTTGACTTTATATTGATAATTTGAGCACTATGAATAGAAAAATTACCTTCAATGGAGCACACATTGTACATATCATTTGAGAAATTGACCAGAATATTATCGATGCAAGAATTTAGGTATGTTGGTTTATTAAAAGTACATGTTGGAAAAGTACATGTCTGCAGAAAGAAAAGTTGTTCAACTCTTTACAATTATTGTCACACAAAAGATAGGTAAACAATAGTAGTGTACACACCGTAAAATTATTAAAAACCAAACCGCCCCACCCCTTCCGGTAGCTTTCTTAGTTGGCCTAACAAAGATCTAATTAAGATAATAAAGCGACATATTGTAGAGCGGAAACGCTAGATGAGCGTATGTGTTGAGCGCGGATAGCGAATACAACAGGCACTGGACTGGACTGAAGTAGTCTCGGTTCTTGTTCTTCTCTCCAACGCCAGTTTGATTCAGTTGGCGTCAGGCCGTGGTGTGCGGAACGTCTGTCGCCCGCCGTTTCTCTGTGTCGTTTTGTGTTTTATTGTGCTGTGTGGGTGATATTTTTGTTTATGCTTATTGTGCGTCGAAAATGCCAATTTGGATACCATCAGCTGTCTCCGGTAAGTGGGTATGTTGTATTCAGGTTGATGTAGATGGGCGACTAGCCGCTGCTCAATAGGTTATCTCCGGTCACTTCAATTACATATCATTTGCATTTAATTCAAGCCTGTTCACTACGAATTTAGATGGTCTCAATTATCGCTTGAGGCTTGGTGCTCGTTCAAGTAGTTAACACAGGAGTGGCCTTGCGTTTTTATTTTTGTGTGGTTTGTAAATTTAATTTTTAAGTAGGATACCTCAAACAGGGTTTATTTTTTATGATATCAAATAGTTAATAGCTACGGTAGTGTTGTATTCTTTAATTTGGCCAATGGTAAAGGTACAGTAAATACATGGTTAAAAAACCATCGCCAAGATTATGTTTAAGTCTAAAAGTATCGTATATAGATCCAAAAGTAAACAAGTCTTTATGTTTAAATTGTAAATATTATTTTTATTATAAATATTCATGACGCAGCCTGGTATGAAGCTAAGGAGGTACTGGTACCGGTAATTTTGAAGTGGTTTTTGGCAAATATTTTATTGGATAATTTTTAACAGCATTTTTAACTAAACACTAGACATTTGTATAACTTAGACTATTTTTATATGAGTTTCCATTTATGCGGCGTGAACTAAATTAACTTAATAACTTGGTTAGGGTAAATTTTAGAAGGTGTCTTTATAAGAATTACGCAATAACACATGCTTTTTGCACTGAATTTATTTTGCTAACACAAACATTTATCACACCTATTTATGCCGGTTGGATCCGACAATTTAGTGAGGCTGTACCTATACTCCAGACACAGATTATTTTAATTTTACAGTCGGTAAATAAATTGATATGTTGACTTCGCGTTCAATAAATACTAGTTTGAGTAGTTTCCTTGTATGGGGTACGGTACGTAGGGAGTGTGGGAACGGATGGTGATTGTATGCCGACGTCATGGGGTCGGGGCAGTCCGTGTCAGTCTATTTACCTGCGCTATTCACGCTCAAAAGATCAATACTTGAACCCTAGACGGCTCGAGGGTCCCGCGTTCGAGCCTTTATCTCGCTCCAGAGCTAAAAATTGCTCCGTAGCCATAACAGGTGGCTGGCCGTCTTAATGTGTTGATAGCCTCTGGCGATAGAAGGCCTTCCCGACTAAGCATTTGTTTTTGTTTACGTACGTTTGATAACATGTTTTTGATGTAAGGTAATTAGGTACCACTCTTACGGAAAAATGTACTACCTATGCATGGAGTCACTAAATGTAGAAAGTTTTTTTTTACAAGTCAGCACCTGTTTTAATTATGCCTTAACTGGCCATGACGTCTTTACTTCACAAAATGTTTAGTCGAATAACTTATTTCTTGAGTGTAGCCATTGCAAGCTAATAAATCAAGAGACTTCGTCGAAATTTCTTGGTAAATTTAGAACTTACGATTGCTAATAACGTAATAAATTCCGCGGAAATTGTTGTAATATGTACTTAAATTATAACTCACTGATAAGGGCGCTGCGATGTCATATTGTACGGTTCCGTACCATACGTGCTACACAAGCTCGTCACGAGAATATGGCTTAATTATTAGCTTTTAATAATTATTTGTAAAAATAGTTCTGCATTGATTGCAAATAAACTAACGCCATTTTTTTTAGTTTCAAAGATGGTTTAAGTCGTGTTTCTTTGTACTGTAGTTATGATTTGTTCGGAATAATTTTATGACGTTAGTTGGTGGTATGACGGTGGCAATTAATTACTACACACATCCAACACTGCAGCGTGTTCAGTTTATTGGTGGTTTTCATAAATGAGCTAGGTTAAATGTGATTTTTTCCTCTGACAGGAAACATACTTATAGCTAATTCCTATGTTCGCGAAAGCTTATTTAGCCTAATTAATTGTTCCTATCCCTAATGTTGTTGCTATTCCTATTACTTATTTTTTATTCCTTCAAGACAGATGATGTCGTCACAGCTCAAATAAATCAGGAATAATAGGCCTAGGCTACTCTGTGACAATATTAGACCAATGCACACATTTACAAATACATTAAAGGCATTGTGTTTGCATTATTTTGGGGTACCTAATAATTGTAGAAAAATTGGTCTCATACCTTTAGACGTGGGCGTATTCAGTATATTAAACCGAAACCCGTACTCTTGACATAACAGATGTTATAAAAGTGCTTATCGTTATCAGTACATTATCGTAGGTCTAATATACGATAAGGGATATGTTTTGTGTGCTAAACAAATCTTGTGAATCTAATTACTGTATAGACTTATTAAAAATATCAAACGTAGGTAGCCTAAAGGCTTCTTATTTTATCAAAACCGTGTTAGAGTTCCATTTAGATTATGGGACAGAATTCCGGGATTAGCAATACATGTCAGTAACTAGGCTTCAAGGTCGTCCGTTATTTTCAGCAAATAAAAGAGGGAAACGTTGTTCTACCGTGAGGAATTCGACCCTGTTTTTGTTACGGGCGTCGATGATGTCAGTGCAGCGTTGCGAGTGCGACCTAGCGGAAAAACATGCAACTACGTCTTTGATAGCTGACCCGCCTCTAATGTTGAAATCTTGTCACTTAGTGCTTGCTGGACATCGCCTACTGTGAGATTACTGTCAAATTGTAGCTCGCATAATTGGCCTACACCTATTTAGCATTCGTTTGTATGAAATCGCGTGTTCTTTCCGTATTTTTCATTTATTAAGATTAGGAATATTTAGTTCCCTTTGAACATGCATGCATTTGTAATCGTCAGTAAAAATGATTAAGCTCTACAAATCCTAATGCTTGTCAAATAATATTGCTCTGGGTGTAATGCAGTTTTATAATTGATTAGCGTAGACCTATGTTTTTCAAGTGTGATAAACATTGTATTTTCAAATGCCAATCGATTAAAGGACCACATTCTCTAATCTGTCTACCAGTGAGTTTTCCTACTGCAGCAGCATGATATCGACTGTCCGACCTCGGATAGCGCAGAAATCAGAAATAAATAACAACGATCAATAAATCATCTTCGTTTTATGTTAGACTAATTTGATGCATTTAATTAACTCGTTCTAGTTTTTCCACTTGCATCTAACATTGCAAATGTCAGCAACCCCCGACTCCATTGGTACTCTCGTGAGACTGTAAAAGTATAAAGCGTCACTCATCTACAATTTTCAGCTTGCAAGATAACAACTAGTAGTGTGAGAATGGGGAATTGACACAGTGTGGTATGTAGCGCGATACAATGAGAAAGGACAGTCAAGCGCATATTTCTAGAAGCTCGCGTATTTTCCGGGTACAGTCAGAGCCAGCAATAAGGGGTTGTCTGGACCATCCATGTATATCAAAGGAGAAGGTCTCTACGTGCCCGATATGAAGATAACATGCGAGCGTTAACGACTCGATCATCCACTGGAAGTGGAAGGGTCGGATAAAACGGAATGCCGGTTAACCGAGGATCACATTATAATCGAAATAAAGATACTAACTTGGGCTAGGCTATATAATTATTTTGAAGGACCTTTCTCTGCTGCGGACCTTCGTTATAACTGCGTCGTCAACACACAACACGTGTAAACTTTCCACCATAATCCCGCGGTCTCGGGTCGCTATTACAACTTACAACTTATAACCCTAAAAATGATTAGGAATATAGTTTTGGTCCTTGTATCGACATTTTGATCCATAATTTCCACATATCTTATTAGATTTGTTTAATGTTGCGTATAATGTTGTTGTGAATTATAATAAAGTTATTAAGAAACATAAATAATCGCTTATTTTTCTCATTAAAAATTATTGTAAGCTTTGATAGAACAGTTTTTTTAATGACAATACGTGTATTTTTGTAAAATAGCATAATCTCTGTAAGCGTGGAAAATGCCAACTAAAAGTTTGGTTGACAATATTGTATGATCAAAACTCAGGCAGGCTACTTATTATTTACTGCCTTGTTTGCACTCAATTCTGAATCCAGGTAAAGGTACAACCTCAGAGTAATAATACTAATAATACATGATGTATTATTACTCTGATGTACAAATAAAAATCCCCTGTCGCAGCAACCATGTAGTCTACGCGAATGACCTCTAGCTTTACTGAGTTCTTTATTTAAAGTAAACTGGTGTACAGTATACGATTGTCTAAATACACTTACCCATCAGTATGAACAAACACCAACAATACTGCAGATGAAATACTACATTTCCTAGGTAATTAAGACCTTTATAACTCTTCCTGACAAAGCAAACGGCTGATCCTGTTCAGTTCACAAGTTCATACTAAATAACTCATTCATCCAATACATAGTGAGAATGATGGTCAAGAAGTGTGTAAAGTATTGGGTGCTGAGGGAGTGGTTGGAAGTGGAATGGGGTTTGAGGGGAGGGTTTGGAACCGCAATCTGTAGTGTCATGGCGGACAGCAAAGGGTTAGAGCTCATGAACAGAGTTTTTTCACATTTAAAGTTGGAAGTCGTATTGGAAAACACCCGTATTACTGGAGCTATTTAGCCTTTTTGCTTCTCTGTTATACCGTAATGGCCTCGGCGGGGTTACCTTTAAAAGTTGAAACGTTAAATTATGCAAATGGTTTGTTTTTGTTTCGAACACAAACAGTGCCACCTTGGCCCTGATTATTGCTTTTAACAATGGTGTGAGCTTAACATTTCACTCGGGAAACCCTTAATAGGCCTGAAATTATTTATATTTTTATTTCCAAGAGCTGTCCAGAAATATATTTCTGAGTTACCTAAAATCACCCTCGCTTCAGCAAACCTGCAGACTATAAAATTTCCATTTGCCCGATTATATTTTCAAATAAATCTATTAATTTAATTAACATTATGTTCAGAAAGTACCTAGGTTTGCTGCTACAGGGAGGGTAATAAAGTAGGGGGTTTAGTCGAATATCAATAGCTTAGTAACCTATAAAATAAGTTAATTTTCCAGGCTTTTTTAAGTTTGATCAAAATATATCCGTAAACAAGCAAACTACAACAGTTTACTTATTCTCTATAAGAATAGCAG